AAACCAGGTTCAAAGCAAGTAGAACCGTTCTACGCCCCAAACTCGTATGCTTCTTTCATGGCATTTCCTGGCACTTGCGCAGTTTCGCACCCCGTCACACCTGGCGCTCGCCCAAGGCAGTTGAGGCTTGCAGCGCCTACCACAGACATGTGACTGTAGCCCCTTAGTCCCCTGAAGTTGCTGTGGTCATTGAGTTGCAATGCCCATTCGGGAGCGCGTTTTCGGAGGCCGAGGATCCCAAGCAAAGATCGCAAACAACACCATGCGACCATGAGACTTGCAGCAGGCTTCGCATGTCAGGATGCCCCATGCCTTCTTGAGCTGTAGCTCGGTAACTTTTCGCCTTGGCGCGGGAGGGTCCATGCGACTTCGGACAGGTCCAGGGCTTGCGCAACCCATGGTCTCAAGCAGAACTGTGAGGGGTTTCCACAATTAGGGGTACCTTATTGGGTACCTTATTACAAGGGAAGCCTATTTTGGGGGGTCTTTCTTGGGGGTCCCCGATGTTCGCAAAGCCCCGTGAGAGTTCAGGAGCAAACTCAGTGGCTGACGCAATCTCAGGACCCTTCTGCAGCTTCTCCATCTGCAAGGTATCCAGCTCCTCGAGCTTGGTCAAGAGGGCTTATGGTTTAGGGTCTAGGGTTTAGGGTTTAGGGTTTAGGGTTTAGGGTTTAGGGTTTAGGGTTTAGGGTTTAGGGTTTAGGGTTTAGGGTTTAGGGTTAGGGTCCAGGGCTTATGGGGCTTACAGGGCTCATAGAAGGCTTTTTCGGGTTCAAGGAGGGCTGTTTAGGGTTTAGGGTTTAGGGGTTTAGGGCTTGTGGGGCTTTTAGGGTTTGGGGTTTAGGATTTAGGGTATATAGGCTGCTCGTTGTAGGGCTTTGGGTTTCTTGGGGTTCGCGGACTCCAGGCGGCAGGTCACCCTGCGTGGGTCGAGTCCCTTGATGTGCGGTGCAATGCTCTCAGGCGGTGTCTGAACTTGCAAGCCGCCACGAACGCAACCTTGAACCCCTCAGCCCCACAAACATCTCAAGACCCTTTAACCCTAATCCATCTCTGAAACCGTTAACCCCTAAATCCGACCCCGGATGCCTGCTTCTTTAGGTCCACCCCGTCCTCCCCATCCGCGTGTCTTTGCTTGAGCTTCTCAACCTCCATTTTGGTAGTCGGGCTTGGAAGGGCAAAGGGACAGCCCACACCCAGAAAACCCTCTCGCAAGCCCTAAATCCTGAAGCCCCGGAACCCTGCAAAGAAGCCCCTTGAATCTTTAAACCCTGAGCCCTGTTTTGCAGGCTTCCTACAGCTTCCCACCAAAAGTAGCGCCTCACGCTGCTTCTTCTCCATCCTCATCAGCTCCTTCTCGAGGGGCCTCAGCATTGAATTCAAGAATGCGGGCTGCGGGCACGGCCGAAGAATCAACCCCCCCCTCCTCCGCCCGCATCCCGTGAAACTACAGTGGAACTACAGTGGACATTCCCATTCCTACCAAGGTTTATGTGGAGGTCATCCAAATTCAGGGATTCCTTGTAGGCAGGGTTCAGCTTTCGGTGGGTGGTACGGGCGGGTTTGGGCGGAGACATGAACCTTGGCACATGCCAACTGCTACATCTGCTATCCTTGCATGCAACCTAGTGGCATCCCTGAACCCTCAACCCTATATTTGTCTTGTACTAGCTTGGCCCTTGGAAGCCTCTGACGAAATTTTCTTGAAGCTGGTCCTCTTCAGCCCAATCAGGGGGAAAAAATGTGCCAAAAAAGGTGCCACGGCCCTACCTAGTATGCGACACCCGAAACTCCTGGCTGCTACGCTCACATTGCTTTGGGATGTTTCCGGTTGGAGGGGCTTTCTTGGTTGGTTTTAGGATTTGGGTTTAAGGTTTAGGGTTCAGGGTTTAGGGCTTAGAGGTTGAGGTTTAAGGCGCAGGGTTGGGTTTAGGGTTTAGAGGCCGGGCCCCAGGCAAACCAGAAACCAGCATGAGCCAAAGCCTTTGCCCCGAACTCGTCTGGCTTGGAGCTTCATGGGTAGCAAAAAGTGGGGTTGTACGTAAGGTAATTCTACTTGTAACCAGTTATAGCCTTATAGCTATAAGTGGGGTTATAAGTAGGTAATTCTACTTAGAGCCGAAACCCTACTTATAACTACCCATGAAACTCAAAGCCAGGACTGCCCGGTCTCTCCGTCCATTCTTGGGCTCGCGCGACAAGGTGGAGGGCGCAGGTTGCGCCACCTTCTCCTTCTCCTTCTCATTCTCTTTGTCATCCTTCCCCCAAACACCTAAACCCTAAACCCGAAACCCTGACCCCTAAGATGCTGGGCTCCAGGAGCCGGAGGAAAGAGGTCGTGGTAGCATACACTGCTTGATCCAAGGGCTTAGGAGTTTGGATTTCGCGTGGGGTCGGGGAGGGTTTGGGAGGGCTTGGACTTGCACCCAAAAGCCTGGAGCATGACTCTGTTTTGGGGCCCCAACAGCAGACACTGGCAACAATACTACCTTATAACAGTAGCCCCAAAAGGGACCATATTTTGAGCAGTGACCATATCGTGAGCGCCCCAAAAAGTCCTCATTCTTGAGCGCCAAGACCCTTATAGCACGAAGTGAAAAGAACCCAACAGGTTGACCCCTTAAGGCCTTTGAAGCCCTAAACCCTAAACCCTGAACCCTAAACCCTAAACCCTAAACCTTAAACCCTGAACCCTGAACCCTAAACCCTAAACCCTAAACCCTAAACCCTAAACCCTAAACCCTAAACCCTAAAGAAGGGGAAGTAGATATCTCGAGTGCAAAGCCCAGCTCTCCTGCTGCGGCGCCTCAGAGCCTGTGGCAGCTTCGCAGGCTGTAGGAGACATGGGTTGAGGGCTTAGGGTTTGGGGTTTAGGGTTTAGGGTTTAGGGTTTAGGGTTTAGGGTTTAGGGTTTAGGGTTTAGGGTTTGGTTTAGGTTTCAGGGTATCGTCAAAGTTGTGGAATCAGGGTTTGCGGGTTCAGGGAACGTAGCCATGCCTAGAATGAGTATCAATTGAACAGCTCTTGCCTCTGACAAATCAGCACAAGCTACAGCTGCAGCCCTAAACCCTAAACCCTGAACCCTAGACCCTAGACCCTAGACCCTAAACCCTAAACCCCCCCCCCCCCACCCACCTTTGGCATCTTCCGCCAGCGGCCTCAATGCGATCCGTGTCCCCTCATGGGTGCCTTTCATAACCCTAAACCCTAAACCCTAAACCCTAAACCCTAAACCCCTAAACCCCTAAACCCTAACCCCTAAACCCCTAAACCCCAAACCCCTAAACCCCAAACCCTAAACCCTCTTGCAGGGATGCATGGTAGAACAACAGCAGAGGAGGTCGCCTACAAGCGGGCTCCCCAAGCCACGGGCTGGGCCGCAACTTCTTCCTGGGGCGCCTCGCGCGCCTGAGGCCAAAGCGAAGGGGTAAGGGTTTAGGGTTTAGGGGGTTAGGGTTCAGGTTTAGGGTTTAGGGTTTAGGGTTTAGGGTTTAGGGTTTAGGGTTTTGGGTTTAGGGTTTAGGGTTTAGGGCTTAGGGCTTAGGGCTTAGGGTTTAGGGTTTAGCACCCATGAGGGGGTTTGAGTATTTGGGGGCCGCCTTTTAACAGGAACCCCAAATGTGGACCATACTTAGAGAAGTGACCATACCTTGCAAATACGAACAGCAAGCCGTAACAACAAGAACTCTAATAATCAAGTTTAAGGAACTACAAGGACTGGGAACTCCCCAGACTAAGATAGAGCCCCGCCATGTTGAGGATCACCTACTCTTCCAGCGCTGCGTCCCCTACACGGAGTCCTGGCTACCATAAAACCACGGATCCAAAATCCCAAACCCTGCGCCCACAGACATCCAAAAAGTAAAGCGCCCCTGCGCGGCCTCTTCTGCTGCAACAGCGGGGGCAGTGTCCCGATTCTCGGCGCCATCGCCTGACTGCTTCCCACCAAGCAGTTCAACAGTGATGTTCCTCTCAGTGCCAGCTTGGGAAGATGGGAAGCTTCGGGCAGTACAGTAGGCTTCTGAAGGACTTTGCACCGGGCATTTGAAAACCTTCCGATTCTTGGGGCAGCTCAAGGCTTGTCGACAAGAGCCACCCCTCCCTCTCCCCCCCTCCTCCCCTCCCGCCTTCCCCTCCCCCCCCCCCGCTCCCTTCCCCTCCCCTTTGGGCTCCGCGCTGCCGATTCGGGATGTCCGCGCTGCCTGGCGTGGCACTGCGGTCAGACACAAGGCCTGAAAAGCCCTGAAGACGACCCAACACCCCACCTTGACCCCTTTGAAACCCTACACCCTAAACCCTAAACCCTGAACCCGAAACCCTAAACCCTAAGCCCTGAACCCGAAGCCCTAAACCCTAAACCCTGAACCCTAAAACCTGACAAAATTCATCGGTGTTGCCCGCCTCGTTGCCCCGTGCTTTGGGCTTCTTTCCCCTCTTGCCAACGAGGAACTCAAAGCCATCATCCTTGGAGGAGGCTTAGGGTTTAGGGTTTAGGGTTTAGGGTTTAGGGTTTAGGGTTTAGGGTTTAGGGTTTAGGGTTAAGGGGTTTAGGGTTTGGGGTTTGGGGTTTAGGGTTTCGTGGTTCAGCGTGCAAGGCTTGGGGCTCGAGGGTGCAATGTTTGTCTTCCCCAAACCCTAAACCCTATAAACCCTAAGCCCTAAACCCTAAACCCTAAACCCTAAACCCCTAAACCCCTAAACCCTAAAGCCAAGACTGACTAAAGGTTTAGGACCTCTGCGGGCATGCGTATCCTATCGGCCGCACAGATTCGGCCGCACAGATCGGTTTAATCGGCTGGAGGACTGTAAGTTGTGCTTAACCGGCACCGGCATAGGGTTTAGGGTTTAGGGGTTTAGGGTTTTAAGGGGTTTAGGGTTTAGGGGTTTAGGGTTTTTAGGGGGTTTAGGGTTTTAAGGGGTTTGAGGTTTAGGAGTTTCGCGTTTAGGGGTTTCGGGCTTAACCCAGCAGCTTCCGCGGGCACACCCAAGCTCGGAGCATCGAGGTTGTCATTTGCATCCTCGCTGATGGGCCTTGGAGCCAGGGCGGGTCAGGGCGGGCAATTGACAGCCAGGGGGTTTTAGGGTTTAGGGTTTAGGGTTTAGGGTTGATGGTTTTGGGACTTTCGCGCGCCGACTGGGTCTGCCTTGCTGGCCTCTGATCGCGCATCCTACGGTCAGGTCTGCCACAACCAGGCGAAGTGATGCGAAGAATCCGAGTCTCCCGAGATGCTCTGCCAGCAGCCTACGGGCTCTCAGCAGATCTCGCCCCGAGTCGTCACCGTGCCTCTTCAATGCTGTCATCTTAGGATTGTTGGGACCATCACGGCTGCCAACGTGGAGCCATTGCAATGAGAAGCTCTCCTGTTGTCATGGCATTCCGGATCAGGCCCGAGAAGACACGACCAAGCTGGCTTCCATCATGGTATGGGTTACATCATCAGAAGATAGCTTCTGAAGGATCTCATGCGGCGGACATGGGGGGATGGCCAAGCCAAGACCGAAGACTCCGGAGCATCCCTCCTCTCCGGAATCAGGGGCATCAGTCATCATCGAGAGGAAAGCCGCAGTGAAACACCAGCCCCTACAAGCAGCAGAATGCGCTCTACTTAAAGCCATGGAGGTCCTGAGCATGCCAATGCTGGGTTGGCTCAGCTCAAGGCATCATCCCTGATTCTGGCTCGCCGGTGGCGCCATAGTTCGTAGTGGGCTTGGCCTCGAGTCTGTGGACTTGAAGTCGAGGGGCGTTTGCCAGTTGTTTGGGTTTGGGGTTCAAAGCTCATGGACTACGTAGGATGCAGCTTGCAGCAGCACATATATACATATATGTGTATATATACATATACGCACATCTGTCCATCGACATATATACCACATACACATACATATACATATACATATACATACACATATACACATACATATACATTATATACATTATATACATTATATACATTATATACATTATATACATTATATACATTATATACATTATATACATTATATACATTATATACATTATATACATTATATACATTATATACATTATATACATTATATACATTATATACAATATATATATATATACATCATATACATTATATACATATACATATACATATACATGTACATATACATGTACATGTACATGTACATGTACATAAACATATACATATACATATACATATACATATACATATACATATACATATACATATACATATACATATATAGAGGTGTATATATGCAGACACACACACACACACACACACACACACACACACACACACACACACACACACACACACACACACACACACACACACACACACACACACACACACACACACACACATATATATATATATATATATATGTATGTGGAGATCAAGGCAGATGAAGAAATACATACATACATACACACAGACATACATGCATGCATGCATGCATACATGCATGCATACATACATGTATATATGTATATATGTGATGCGGGCTCGCGGTTCGCCGCCCTCAAGAGGCGGGCTGAAAGCTCCGCCGGCTGTGGCGAGGCCGGGGGAGTGCCCTGAAAGCTGAGGGTTCAGAGTTTCGGGTTTAGGGCTTATAGGGTTTAACGGGTTTATAGGCTTTATAGGCTTTATAGGGTTTATAGGATTTATAGGCTTTATAGGATTTATAGGATGATTTATAGGATTTATAGGAGTTATAGGCTTTATAGGATTTATAGGATTTATAGGATTTATAGGATTTATAGGATTTATAGGATTTATAGATTTATAGGATTTATAGGATTTATAGGATTTATAGGATTTATAGGATTTATAGGATTTATAGGGTTTATAGGGTTTAGGGTTTAGGGTTTCGGGTTTAGGGTGATAGGGTTTCTGTAGGCTCTGTAGGACTCTGTAGGGCGGGGTATTAAGAAGGGTTGGGCTTGTACGGGTGGCTACCAGCGACACTCGGTTGACACAGGATGTCATGTGAAAAAGAGCGGCCGTGGCAGTAATTCGGACTCGGAATTTTGGAACTCCGGCTTTGACCTTGTTGACATCAAAAAAAGGGTCGTTCGACGCCTCGCTACACCGCTCGACCTCAGGGCGATATATGCACCATCTGCCTTCGGGCAGAGATACGCCCAATCCCCAAAATCCTGAACCAGACCCTGAACATCCCAAGGCCCTCCGAAGACCCTGCATTTCAACCCGACTGAAACCCAGGCCACCAAACCCCGAACCTCACCACTAAAACCCTACACCCTAAACCCTAAACCCTAAACCCTAACTGGAGGTGCCCTGCCTCAGGCGGGATGTCAGCCCAGGCCTTGACTTTTAGGGAAATTGGGCCTTAGGATACGCGCCTTAGGGTTTAGGGTTTAAGGTTTAAGGGTTAGGGTTCAGGGTTTAGGGTTTAAGGTTGCCAAGGATGACACTGGATTTCGATTACAATTTTCGATTAAAATCGATTTTAATACCCCTCTCCGGGCGGGCCCGTGTCAGCCAAAGATATCAATTAAAATCGATTTTAATACCTAGGAAGATGTCCTAGACGGGCTTGGCGGGGTATTAAAATCGATTTTAATTGATTTTGACCCCGTCCCGGGCCTTGGGGTATTAAAATCGATTTTAATACTTTTGGCTGGGGGGGCCGGTTCCGGAGGCTTAGGCAGCTCAGGGCGCCCAAGAACCTGAGGGGGCTGGTGCGGGTTTGGGTCGAGGTGCTTGAGGGGGGCTAGCCTGAGGGGGCTTAGGGAGGCTTGGCGGGGCTGAGGGGGTGGCTTGAGACTCCAACAAGGGTGCTTGGGGCTTTGGGTCGAGGGTGCCCTGGAGGTGCTTGAGGTGAGGGGGCTTAGGGAGCTCAGGGGGAAGGGTGCTGGGGGGTGGCTTGAGGGGGCTTGGGTCGAGGGCCCTGCAATGGGGCTTCGCCTGAGGGGGTTTTAGGGAGGCTTAGGGGGGCTTAGGGGGTGGCTTGAGACCCCAAAAACTGAGAGGGCTTCACAGGCTTAGTTAGGGGGGCAAAGGCGGCTTGGGGGGCTTGGGGTTAGGGACGAGGCGGAACCTGTATTTTTCTCATGCACCACCCCCCCCCCCCCCCCCCCCCCACCCCTTCCCCCCACCCGCTTACCCCTTCCTCCCCACCCCCCCCCACCCGCCCACTTTCCGCCCCCCCACCCCCCCCACCCACACCCCCGCCACCCCCCCCCAACCCCCCCCCACCCCCCCCCCCACCCAGCCAGCCCAACCGCCCCCCCACCCCAAACCCCCCCAACCCAGGCAGCCCCCAGCCCCACCCACCCCGACCCCCCAGGAATTAAAATCGATTTTAATACCCTCTGGAGTGGTCTGGAGATCGGGATGAATTAAAATCGATTTTAAGTGATTTCGTGATGGGAAGCGATTAAAATCGATGTTAATACCCTCCGGAGTGGTCTGGAGATCGGGATGAATTAAAATCGATTTGAAGTGATTCATGATGGGAAGCAATTAAAATCGATTTTAATACCCTCCGGAGTGGTCTGGAGAGCCAAATGAATTAAAATCGATTTCAAGTGTTTTTGAAGCGTGAAGGTCTGGACCAGGGTATCAAAATCGATTTCAAGTCATCCCGAAAGCAGAACTGAAGAAGGTATTAAAATCGATTTCAATTGATTTGCTAACCGAATCAAGAAAACCTGGAAGCAGGTATTAAAATCGATTTTAATACAGAATTGAAATCGAAATCAAGACTCAATGGTTTAAGGTTTAGTAGGAATCCGAGATAGGGTTCACATCTAGCTTTCAAGGTTTGGGGATTTAGGATGTACAGGGCTCAGGGCTCAGGGCTGAGGAGAACTAGAGCCTGGGGGGGTGCAGGCGGAATCTTCGGGGTTATGAGGCTCGGGCTCGTGGGGTGCACATAGGGTGCAGTTAACTCATCCGGGCTTAGGACTTAAGGGTCAGGGCTTATAGGGTTTCAAGGTCAAGGTTGCAGACTCTGGAGCCCAACACCCCATTTGGGAACTCTTGCAGCTACCCTTACGTCGTTGGAAGCAGTCAGCTAAGTTGAGTTTAGACCTACACCCAAGAAGGGCATTTTTGCCGCGTGACATCCACAATCAAGCCACAACCGGAAATCCGTTGTCCCGCTAAACTTGAACAGTTCCTACTGCAACCCTAAGCCACGCACCCTACAACCCCGAAGTACCCTTAACTTCAAAACCCGAAACCCGTACTAAAGAAAAGGGAAAACATTCTCTCCCTATTGTTTAGCACCCTGATGAACTTCGCAAATCCTAAGCCCTAAAAACCCTAAAACCCTAAAACCCTAAAACCCTAATTCCCTAAAACCCTAAAACCCTAAAACCCTAAAACCCTAAAACCCTAAAACCCTAAAGCCCTAAAGCCCTAAAAACACTAGAACCCTAAAACCCTAAACTCCAAAAACCCTGAAGCAGCCGTTGGGGCCTCCATCTTGGCAGCGCGCTTCTTCGGCGCGTCCTCGCGCCGCGGCCCCGCTCAGCCATTTGGGGCTTCTGGGATTTAGGGTTTGGGGTTCAGGGTTTATAGGATATGTATTCTATGTATATGTATATGTACATGTATATGCATATGTATATGTATATGTATACGTATATGTATATGTACATGTATGTATATGTATATGTACATGTATGTGTATGTGTATGTGTATATGTATATGTATGTGTACGTGTATGTGTATGTATATATATATATATACACATGCACATACACGAGCCAAAGCCTGACTTCTCAACCCCATGCACATTCTGGACCAAACCCTTTAATTGCTCCCACCCACTTAGGCCCTGAGCCCGACCTGCTCCGGCTTCTCGGCCTTCTCAGGCTTGTCGGGCTTGTCGGGCTTCGCTGCCTCCGCAGCCTGCACGGAACAAGAAGAGTTCAAGGGTCGAGGATTTACTGTTTAGCCCGCAAGAAAACACAGTAGGCCTTGGGGCTACGGCCGGGGATCAGGTCGTCATGAGGGTGTTATTCCAAAGACCCATTTCTCATGTCCGGATCACCCTAAACTGTCTAAACCCTGCACCTTTTAGCTAAATCTTGGAGGCCTTCTCGGCCTTCTCCTCCAGCTTCTCCGGCTTCTCTGCGGGCTCCGCGGGCTCGGCGGGCTCCGCGAGCTCCGCGGACGCTGCGGGCTCCGCAGGCTCCGCGAGCTCTGCGGACGCTGCGGGCTTCGCGGGCTTCGCTGGCTTCGCAGGTGGCGCCCGCGCCGAAGTCTTCTGGCCGAGTGCTGGGTTGAAGTTGAGGCTGTGAGGGCAAACTGCTTGCGGACTTGGGGATATGATTTTCTGCGGTCTGGCCTTTGATTGAAGCGAGAATTGATGAGGGTTGCGATCTGAGGCAAAAACACCCAGGCAGGACCAAACCGCTCTTTTCAGCCTGTATTTTATCAGACGGCATCTCGGACGTCGATTTATATACCCTCGAATCTGCTCTTTGCTTGAAGACGACCTGTGGCACCATGGAGGTTTCCGAAATTAGGGGTCGCCTTATTGAGGTCCTCCTTCTCAGGGGATCCTACTATTTGGGGGGGGAACCCTGTTATCGTAAACTCTGAGACTCTGAGCATCATTTAAGCCGCCGGCCTCGGCTCTTGGCGCCACAGGAGCCCTGTGCTCCCTGTAATCCCTGTCTGCCTGCACGGAAAAGGGCTGCTCAGGGATGTCTTCTGGGGTTTAGGCTTTATAGGGTTTACGGAAAATGACAGAGAAGAAGAAGAAGCTCGTGGTTGGGGGCCAGGATCATAAGTGCCGCCTGTGGGGCTCAGTTCGGTGAAGCCTCAGACTTGGGTTTTGGCCTGATGGCAACTTCGATTGAGTACTGTAGCTCGCGGAGTTCCGCGTTGGTCGCTACTTGGCTGAGCTTGGAAGAAGGACGCGCAACGATGGTCACGAGATGCGCGAACAAAAGCCCCAGAGGCAGGCTTGCTTAACTGCAAGGAAGACAGACCGAGTCGCGGAACGAATGCGAAAACCTGAAACCCGAAGCTTCCAAAGCCCGAAACCACCCTAAACCCTAAACAACCCTAAACCCTAAACCCTAAACAACCCGAAACCCTAAACCTTAAACCTTAAACCCTAAACCCTAAACCTTAAACCCTAAACCTTAAACCCATTCGGAGGCCTTTGCAGACCGGGGGGCGCTTGACTTCACGGCCTCCGCGGCCTGGGCGGCTTGAGTTTTTAGGATTTAGGGTTTAGGGTTTAGGGCTTAGGGTTTAGGGTTTAGGGTTTAGGGTTGCTTTACTTGATGGTTAGGACAAAAGTCCCTAGGGCTTAGGGCAGGCTTGATACCGTCTGGGCTCCGCGCAGCTCTGCTTTTTCTGTCAGCCTGGCAGGATTCAGAAAAGTCCAGGCAGCCTGCTCCTAAACCCTAAACCCTAAACCCTAAACCCTAATCAGCTGGAAGTGCAGCCGCGGCGCGCCATGAGAGCACTCGCAAACTGCGCAGCTCCAACGCCAAGTAACCCCCAAAATGGCCCAACCCCAAACTTTCAGCCTCTGAACCTCCGACCCCAAAACATCCACACTTGCATTTCATCTTTGTGCAAAGTATGTTTAGACCCATGCTTGAGTTTGCTTCACGCCTCTTTTGGTGTCCATAAATTGTGCTCTTCATTCGTCCGCAGACCCGAGCCGCCCCGCCGGCGCCTTCCGTGTTGGCTTTGCAACGGTCCAGCCATCCTCCTCCTCAGCTCTTGCAGAGTTGCAGCAGACGAAGCACAGCAGGGTTTAGGCTTCAGGGTTCAGGGTTCAGGGTTGAGGGTTGAGGGTTGAGGGTTGAGGGTTGAGGGTTGAGGGTTTAGGCTTCAGGGTTCAGGGTTTAGGGCTTAGGGTTTAGGCAAGATCCCACAAGCCGACGGCAAGATCTGAGCTGCCACAAACCCTCAAACTTTTTCCCCCCCAAAAAGGCTGGCAGAAGGCCTCGTCCAGTTCTTCCACAGGGCCGCGGGGTTCGAGCGCCTCCTCTTCCCCCCCAAAAAAGGACCAACCCTAGGAGATCTCAGCGTTGCAGACCTCACAAGGAAGATACTCCAAGAATGTGCGCATCCATGCGTATCCCACACCGCACAGCAGGGAACCGACACTTTGCCCTAAAAAATCTTGAGCCCTAGACCCCTAAACCATCAGCTTCCTATTGAACCACTCAACCCTTCACCTCCTTGTTTAGTGGTTAAGCCCCAAACCCTAGACCCTGGACCCTAAACCTTCTGAGGCCCCCTGCTCTTCCTACCCTGACACGACCCTAAACCCTAAACCCTAAACCCTAAACCCTAAACCTTAAACGCTCGGGGGACCTCGGCTTCCGGTGGCTCCTGGTGTCGCGGCGGCTCCGCCGCTTCAGCCAGGGGCTGAGGGAGCTCCTCTGCTGGGGTCTCAGGGGGCCTTCGGGCTTAGGGTTTAGGGTTTAGGGTTTAGGGTTTAGGGTTTAGGGTTTAGGGTTTAGGGTTTAGGGTTTAGGGCTGTTAGGGGTTTAGGGATTTAGGGATTTAGGGGGTTGGGGCTTTAGGGGGCTTGTTGGGGTTTTTGGGGGCTTGTTGGGGTTTAAGGTTTTGGGGTTTGGGCTTTCGGGTTCGGGAGGAAGAGTCGCTGCGAAGCGTCTGACATGGTTGTCTGCGCGTGTCTGCCTAAAGCCCCATAAACGCTGGGCCCCTAGGCCCCTAGACTCAGGAGGAGCCATCCCAACCCTAAACCCTAAACCCAAGACCCAAAACCCTAAACCCTAAACCCAAAACCCTAAACCCTAAACCCTAACCCTAAACCCTAAACCCTGAACCCTAAACTCTGAACCCTAAACCCTGAACCCTAAACCCTAAACCCCACCGCGGGCCTCCTCCGCCTCCTCCATTTCTGGGTCGGCGTCGGCGAACTGGGGCTCGGGGACGTCCTCCTCCTTTTTTTGGAAGCTAAAAAAGAAGGGGCATAAAAATTAGAATAGGGTTTAGCGTTTAGGTTTTAGGGTTTAGTGTTTAGGGCTTAGGGCTGAAGGCTTAGGGTTTAGGGCTTCGGGCTTAGGGTTTAGGGTTTAGGGTTTCGGGTTTAGGGTTTAGGGTTTAGGGTCTCCTAATATAGGGGCCTTAATAATTAAAATTGGGCTTTGGGATTCTTAGTAATTTTTCCGATCCCTATATTGCAGGGTTTTGGGGGTTCTAAAGTTTGGGAGAAAGAGGCTTGCCTTGGAGAGCTAACAGATGCAGTCCACTACCCCACCCACTCCGATTCTGGAGTTTTTTTGAACAAACGCGGCCGCTTTCCTCCTCCCATTCTTCCGCGTTTCTCTTGGTCCACAGGTTGCCACTTGGTCAGTTCCCTAAATTCGATTCCTTTTTTGGGCACCCGAAATAAGAAAACCTTATACCACCTATTAAAAAGGACCCCGCAAGAAACCCTCATTTATGTGGAAGGTGCGAGGGCAGGGTCCCCCGCCTCGACCTCCTCCTCGTCCCATCGCATCTGGCCTTGCCCCGCTGCTTCCTGACGCGGTGGCCCCGTAGGCACGTCTCCCTACTAAGGGTCCATGCAACTACATTTTCTTGGGCCCGAAACCCTAAACCCTAAACCCTAAACCCTAAATGCACCCTTAGGGTCTGATGAGTTTTGGGGATGCAGGACAGTGGGTGCGCCATGCTGGGTTCAGTTCAGGGCTTCGACTTGGGATCTCGAATGAAACTCTTTGGGCACTGTGGGGCTGAAGGATTAGGGTCTGTTGAGGGTGGGGGGGGGGTTAGGTTTCGGTTTCGAACCCAGGTCCACTTGGGGACTGAGGGCCCTTCCCCACAGCCACTCTTTTCCTGCAGACACAGGGGGGGGCGGGGGGGGGGGGAGGCAAGGGAGGAGCAAGTTAGCCTTCCAGCGGCATGGCTTGCAAAAAATGGGCAGATGCTGACCAGAACTTCTGAGCCAGCGTCCGGCCTGCTCCTTCGGTGCGGCGGGAGCCGGCTGGCCAGGGAAAGCCAAGGGCGGCGGGGCCCCGGGCTGGTCGGGGAATGCCTGGGGTTTAGGGTTTAGGGTTGAGGGTTGAGGGTTGAGGGTTGAGGGTTGAGGGTTGAGGGTTGAGGGTTGAGGGTTTAGGTCAGATTGAAGGAGTTCAGAGTTTACTGTAATTGGAGCCTGAGGAGGGCTTGAAGATATTCAGGGTTTAGAATTTAAGGATGTTGTTTGTTTTTGTTTCGTAGGGGGGGGGGATGGTGAAGGGCTTGGGAATTTGAGTCTGCGGTCTGAAGGCTATCGTTGCTGCCAAGAACTTCCGCCAACCCTCACTGGGGCGAAGGACCTCTGACCAGCTGACTACGCCACGCCTTACTTGCAGACAGGGAGGGCGGGGGCAGGGCTGCCAGAGGTTTGGGGTTTAGGGTTTAGGGTTTAGGGTTTAGGGTTTAGGAATTGGTTCATCTTGCTTCTAGCACCAGGGACAGTTTGGATATCTCCCTGTGTACGCTTCTGCAGCATCTGAGGGCGGATTGTTTCGAACCGGGTGTTTAAGGGAAATGGTGTGGAGATCTCGGGGTAGACCTCTGATCGCAGAAAAAATTGCACATGCAATCTTTGCTGGTGCACTTACAATCTTCGCTGGTGCACTACACAATGGAGGCGGCCGTTGGCAAACATTGTAAACTCGTTCGACCTGCCCAGTGCACAAGGGCACTACGGTCGGTTGATGTGATAGGTGCCCTGCACCCTACACCCGAAACCATAAATCTTAAACCTTAAACACCTATAGATCTGTCCTAGACTCCAGCCAAAAGGTCCTGAATCCGACGCTTGAACTAGCTGTCGAGAACCTGAACTCTGAAATGAAACCTATGGTGACGGGAATTGCCCCTTCCTGAAAACCTTACTACACCAGAAGGATCCTAGGAAGAAACATGATGGAGCCTCTCCGCTCTTCGAGGATGATGGGTCGGCTGAGGCGCGAAACGGCTACGTCGTCACTTCTCTATATCCTTGGTCCCTTTTTGGAGTTACATTTGCAAGGTGGCCCCTAATTAATAGTTAGGGCACCCAAAAAGGGACAAGAATTTAGAGAACTGACGGTACTGGACCTGGGCTGCAGCCTTGGGTGCCGCGCAAGGGGCTGCCCTAAACCCTAAACCCTAAACCCTAAACCCTAAACCCCAAACCCTAAACCCTAAACCCTAAGAAACTCCCTATGCGAACGGACCTTGGACCTCCGGGTCGCTGGCCAGATCCGCAGGTCGCAGATGGCGCCCTCGAAGTTCTCGTCCTTGCTTGGGGAGCTCTTGGGGGGGGGGGGTGAACTTGGGGGAGTTTTGGGGTTTTGGGGGGGAGTTCTTGGGGGGTGAACTTGGGGGAGAAATTCGGGTTTTGGGGAAATTCAGGGTTCGAAGGGAGCTTGGGCTTTTGCCGGAACCTGATGAGGTGTGGGTGGGTGCCTGGCTCCTTGGCCTCAAGCTCGACAGCTCTTAGACTTCAAACAGGAACACTTCCCTGCTGGGATGTTCATAAACCCTAGACCTTAACATAGGGGACCCACAAAGCACCCGAATTTTGTTAACTTAGACTACCCCTTGTTTTGCAGTTGATCTTCTCAACCTGAATCATGGACCCTTCTCTCGTGTCTTCTCGTGTCTCTGGCAGCATCTTCCCTATAGCTTCCAGCTGAGAGTACAGCACAGCCCACTTCAAAAGAGGACCCCTTGGATGTTCATCCAACCCAAAAAAGACCCTAAAACCCCCCTCCACTTACGCAGGAGCCCCTGGGCTTCCCACGCCAGCGGAGTTGGACCCACCTCTCAGGAACCCGTCTTGAACCCGAGACAAAGCCCCCCGGAGCTCTCTCCAGGGGTCACTGACCCCTAGGCCGAAATATGCCTGTCAGCGCAAGCTTTGTTGTTGGACTTAGGGGAATTTCAAGCGTTCAATGGGCTGCAGGCAAACTCCCCTAGAAAATGATCTCCCCCCACCCCTTCTTGGCCCATGTCTGCCAAGAGCTCTGCACACGGAAGTTATGTACCCTGAGACCATGGACCCTAAGCCCTTCAAACTCTAAACCCCAGAAGCCTACAAAGGCGGTCTAGGGTCTCTGGCTGAAGTCTTGGCCACCCTGAACCCTAAACCCTAAACCCTAAACCCTAAACCCTGAACCCGAAACCCTAAACTTTCTCCCCCAAGATCAACCCCACCTATCAGAAGCTTCCGCCGCTCCAGGGCCCGCGGGGCAAAGCCCTGCGGCTGCACACCTCTGGGGTTTAGGGTTTCGGGGTTTAGGGTTTCGGGTTTAGGGTTTAGGGTTTAGGGGAGCTCCCTGGTTCTTCGCATGACCTGAAGGAATGAGGTACCCTTTTTACTCCCTGAAAGGGCATAAATAGGGCTTTAGGGGTTCTAGGGTTCAGGGTTTGAGGGTTTGAGGGTTTGAGGGTTTGAGGGTTTGAGGGTTTGAGGGTTTGAGGGTTTGAGGGTTTCAGGGTTTCAGGGTTTCAGGGTTTCAGGGTTTGAGGGTTTGAGGGTTTGAGGGTTTGAGGGTTTGAGGGCTTGAGGGCTTGAGGGCTTGAGGGTTTGGGCTCGAAGGTACCACCCACTGGCTTCGTTTCTTCGCGGGGCAGGAGCTGGGTTTGGAGCAACATTTATGGCTTTTGTAAGGATTGTACAGGGATTAAAGGCAATAAATATTCAGATTATGTACAAACCTACCCCCTTTCAAGACCTGTCTGGGACCAGAGGTGCCCCAGAATGGGGAACTGTCACCATGGAGACCTACACCCGACCGTCGTATCGGGGACCTAAACCCTCAACACGAATTAAACCCTAAACACCCTAAACATCCCTAAACCGCATTGCGATTTCAAGGGGAGCAAACGGATGGCAACCGTTGTTCTCGAGCTGCGACAAAGGATGCAGCCGCAGGAAGTACCATTGCGAAGCAGAGTGATACGCCGGCGTTTAGTCAAGCTTATATACCTCGAACGAACTCCAAGTCATGGCATGCGCCTTGCGGAATTACAGAGCGCTGCACTGCCACCGGGCGCTCTCCAAAGCTTCGCTATAGCCCTGGTATCTAGCAGCCTCCGCGCGATGATACAAACCCCGACAGCAACATGTCTGTCTCAGGCCTAGCTGATCACCGTCACGCAGCATCCTGCATGGGAAGGCAGAGGGCTGCTTGCCAAGCTTGTCTAAGAGGATGGGGGGGGTCTGCACAGGGCTGCGGATGTGTGACTTCGAGAACTCATGGTGAGGCACAGTTCAAGATCATTGAGCAGGGACAACCTCTACACATCATGAGACAGTGACGCGAAACGCAGAGCATCACGCAGCATCACGCAGCATCACGCATTGAACTGAAAACTCTTTGAGGCCTCGTGTGCCCAGTCTCACTGATGCTGAGGAGGTAGGAGTGCGTCTCGCCTGCAGTCTAGAGCAGCTTCGCATCTTGGTAGTTTAGGAATTTCGGTTTGAGAGGCCCTCCATCCCCCAGTGGCAGCATCACGCAGACGGAGCCACGACAACTGAGGGGATTCTTTGCGCTGGAATCTGACCAGCAGCCTGCTGCCGCAAAGTCACCAGCATAACTAGCAGCTGCCAGAGAGGCCGCAGTCTGCGGCGAACTGAAGTCTCCTCTAAGTTTAAGTTTCTGGGGCTGGCACCAAGTTCGAGTACGCCTGGCATCATCAGCCTTCTCAAGAATTGCAAGTCCGAGTTCGGAATCACGCGTGAAGCTGAGGCGTACCAGTGCAACATCCGTGGTCAAAAGCAGAAGGAGGACAAAGGCATCGACGGAACTTCTGCGAGTAAGCTCCACTGCAAGACTTCTGCACGCTTGCAACCAATTTCTACTTCACTACTTCTGCCAATTAACTTTTTATATGAGCCGGATGCGATGGCCCCCGTTTCAGCCAGCAAGTCTATGAAGATGCCGAGATCTTGGTTGATAACACGATTGAGGCCATAGCAATCCTGAGAGCACAGCAGCCAAAATTATATATTCATGTATACAGATGGATAGATAGACATACATATATATAGGTGTATATCATATATATATATATATACATATGTAAATATATATATATATATATATATATGTATGCATATATGTATATATACATGATATGTATATGCATACATATATATCCGCCGACCCCCTTTGTCGGCGTCAAGAAGCTGGACTCGTACCTTGCCCGCTGGACCCGCTAGTGGCCTTCCCCATGGACCCGCGCGGCTTGCTTCCTACGTGGATGGACCCGTGCGTATTGTAACCCACCTCCATACGCCGCGCGTTTTGTGACCCATTTCCCAACCCCGCCCCCCAACCCCCCCCCCTCCCTCCCCTCCACCTGAGCCAGAAAAAACAACCAATTAACCACGCGTTTTGGGACCCGTTTCCCTACCCCCCCCCCCCCCCCCCAGCCGCCCTTTCCGGAGGTCAAACGGGTGAACCACGCGTTTTGGGAGCCGTTTCCCACCCCCCCGCCACACCAGCCGCCCCCCCCCCCAACCCCCCCCCCCCCCCAACCCCCCCCCCCCCCCATCTGCCCCTCTCCTCTTCACCCGAACCAAAAACAATAAGGCGGATGTCGGAGCTGTTTCCTACCCCCCCCCCCCCCCCAAGCCGCACCCCCCCTCCCTCCCCTCCCCCGAGCTAAAGATTGGTGTTTTCAAAGGCGGTCAGTGGGTGTTCCCCCCGACCCCCCCCCCCCCCCAGCCCCCCCCCCCCCCCCCCGCCCCCCACCCAGCCCCCTCCCCTCCCCCCTCCCCCCATGGGAGCTGAGCCAGAAAAAACAACCAATTTTTGTTTTGGAACGGTTACACGCGTTTTGGGAGCCGTTTCCCTACCCCCCCCCCCCCCAGGCCGCCCCTCCCCCCCCCCCCCCCAACCGCCGCCCCCCCCCCCCCCCCCTCCCTCCCTTTCACCGAGCCAGAAAAAACAACCAAATCGGCCAACCCCCCCCACTCCCTCCCTGAAACCCCCCACAGCCGCCCTCCGCCCCTCCCCCCCCCCTCCCTCAGAAAAAAACAACCATTCGTGTTGAAGGCGGCCAAGCCACGCGGTTTGGGAGCCGTTTCCCTAGCCCCCCCCCACGGAGCGGTTTTCCCTACCCCCCCCCCCCAGCCCCCCCTCCCCCCACCCCGCCCCCCCCCCCGTTCCCTCCCCTCCACCCGACAGAAAAACCCTCCAGCAGCCCAATTGGGGCGGTTTCCCTACCCCCCCCCCCCCACCCAGCCGCCCCTCCCCCCTCAACCCGCCCCCCCCTCTACCCGAGCCAGAAAAAAAGAAATAATTTGTGTTTCTGGGAACACGCGTTTTGGGAGCCGTTTCCCCACCCCCCCCCCCCCAGCCGCCCCTCCCCCCCCCCCCACCCGCCCCCCCCCCTCCCTCCCCTCCACCCGAGCCCACAATTTAGGCGGGGGACCACTGCCTTTTGGGAGCGGTTCGCCCCCGCAGCCGCCCCTCCCCCCCCCCTCCCTCCCCTCCACCCGAGCCAGAAAAAACAACTAATTTGGTGTTTTGGAAGGTGGCCAAGCGGGTGGAACCACGCGTTTTGGGAGCGGTTTCCCTCCCCCCCCCCCCGGCAAAGCCACCCCTCCCCCCTCAACCCGCCCCCCACCCCCCTCAAGCCCGCGGCACTTACCTCGGGGGTCGGCGGCAGCGGCGTCAGCCTTTAAATCGGGCAGCGCGAGGTCCCCAAAGGACCGAGCAAATGCGGACCTTTTAGCCCGGGTGGTCCCGGGAATAGCCTTGCTGGCCTCTGGCCTTCTGCGAAGCAGAATTAGGCCGGACGCCAGTGCCGCCGACCCCCGCGTGCCGCCGGTGAACGGTTTTTTTTTCGTGGTTTTTTGCGTCGCCACGGAGGCCCCCAGAGGGCGCGCATCATGAGCATCAGCGGGTCCAGCCCGGGACCCCCAGGCGCGCATCAGGAGCATCAGCGGCTCCCGGGGCGGGACCGCGGGGGGCATCAGGAGCATGATGCCCCCCAAAGGGCGGGCATAAGCGACGTGTCTAAGCCCGGGGCTAGGAAAAAGGGAGTTTAGGGGCCTTATAAAGTGCTTAGAAACGTTAAGGGAGTCTCGGAGCCTCAAACGCTTAGAGATTTGAAGGGAGTTTAGGGGCCTGAAAATGCTTAGAAACTTAACGCTTAGAATTTTTAAGGGAGTTTAGGGGCCTCAACATGCTTAGAAACTGCTCGCCCCGGGCTTCTGCGTGCGCTGCCCGCCCATGGGCGCAGCCCCTTAAAATATATATATATATATATATATATATATATATATATATATATATATATCATAATATAAACATATGTAGTAGAATAGTTCAAAATATTGATACGAATACGAGCAACAAGGATGATAATAATGTGGTACATAAGAATACGTATAACGTATACCCTACCATAGCAACACACATATGTATGATCCTGTGGTCCAGATAATGTAATTTAGGGTTTCGGGTTTAGGGTTTAGGGTTTAGGGTTTGGATTTGGGGTTTAGGGTTTAGGGCCGAGGGAGCCGAAGCTGCTAATTCAAGGCTCTATTTCAATATCGATGATAGAAACTCGCACTCGCAGTCATGGGGGGGGGGGACAAGAGATTCCTCATCATTGCGGTGTAGGTCCCTAAGATATGTCAACCCCTTTTTGCCGATTGCCTCTTCTTCGAAGGGCCCCGGTACACCTCCACCAGAAGCGTCCTGACCAATATCTTTGGGATCCGGTATGAAATCTTACGTGTCTGTTGTCTTGAATGCAACTTCCAACTCTTTCTCCACAACAATTGTAATCTATCTCAAAGCCACAGATCCTAAGAATTCGGGGTCCTACATGATTGCTGTTGAGACCCGTGTTCACTACATGCCTGCCATTTGGCTCTGTCTTCCACCGACCACCTCCCTTTGCAGGGCCCTCAGTCGCAGTCCAGGGTTTAGGAACCCTCAACCCTAAGCCCCACAAAGATTGGCCAGAGAAGTCGGCTCCTACCCTTCTCCAAGTTGCCGATCACGATGTTATCCACCTGGGTAGCTTGAGGTAAGGTTGCATGAGCCGTCAATCGGGATTCGATGGCATTGAAGCGGTCTTCCCTTCTGCATCCCCTAGACCCTAAACCCTAAACCCTACACCCTACACCCTAAACCCTAAACCCTAAAACCTAAACCCTAAACCCTAAACCCTAACCCTAAACCCTAACTCTAAACCCTAAACCCTAAACCCTAAATCCGAAACCCTAAACCCTAAACTCTAAACCCTAAACCCTGAACCCTAAACCCTGAACCCTAAACCCTAAACCCTAAACCCTAAACCCTAAACCCTAAACCCTAAACCCTAAACCCTAAACCCTAAACCCAACGCAAGACGGCTCAGGGCTACTCGCACCTGCGACATTTCACACGCAGTCACTGGTCCCACATCCCTCCGCTGGCCACGCGGCACCCACAAACCCTAAACCCTAAACCGCAAGTTCCCAACTTCTACAGTAAACGGGCTGCGCCCTAAACTCCATCGAAGCCCCAAGCCCCACCTGGGGCCACCCTGCATCTCAAAAAGGCAAGTGTAAACATGCTACGCATGGGGGAACATCCGCTTTTTTGAATTGCAAAACTCACTTACATACTTGCTCAAGGTCGGGTCGGGAGCCAAGAACAACTCAACCCCTAAACCCCGTAAACCCTTGAAAGCCCAGAACCCCTCGTCCGGGGACCCATGCTGCGGGACCGTCCCCGAAGTCGAGGATGCGGCTCCTGCGCATGGTTGGGTCTTAGAATTATTAGCTGCGAAATTTTGGGTTGTGTGTCTGGCCACCTTGCTCCAACTTTGCAGGGTTTTGGCGCTCTTCTTGCATTCTGACCATGATGCCTATCCGAGTTCGGGGAACGACACCGGCTTCAGGCAAGACAGGGGCTTCCACACCGAACTTCAGGATGCGAATGCCGTCTGAGTTGCGGGTTGTGGTTTCAATTTTGCGGCATTGTGCACGCGCTTTGGCGAACCAATCAAGAACCCCCACTTTGAACCCGGCACGAAGACCCATGATGATCTGCGAATCTTGACCAGTTCCGTAAACCGGCCCTGCCTCAACTGGAAGGCATCCCACCTGGCCGTGAAGGCAATGCTGATTGCCTCAGGTGGCACTGGCGGGAGTGGAGGGCAGCGGGGTTGGGCCGCTGAACACTGCTGTAGCTACATTGAGAGATTTTGAGAGCATCAGCACGACTTGGAGGTCCCTCAGCCTGCAATGTCGGGCCTTTCGTCGGGAATGCGGGAATGAGATACCCCTATATGCCCCTTGAAGGGATTATCTAAGCCCTAAACCCTAAACCCTAAACCCTAAACCCTAAACCCTAAACCCTAAACCCTAAACCATTCCTCCAATTCCCTTTCACCCACGGCCGTGAGAAGTTAAAGCCCCAAGCCCTGGAGCTCCGATGCCCCGTGTCAAGTTAGGGTTTGGGGGTTTAGGGTTTAGGGTTTAGGGTTTAGGGTTTAGGGTTTAGGGTTTAGGGTTTAGGGTTTAGGGTTTGGGGTTTGGGGTTTGGGGTTTGGGGTTTGGGGGTTTAGGGTTTTCGGGTTTGTGGTTGGGGGGGTTAGGGGTTGGGGCTGCAAACTCTCGACAGCAGCAGAACCGAGTGCCGGGCTCCTCCCAACTGCTGGGTGAAGTCGTGGGGGCGTTCCTGGCAGGTAGCTGAGGACCCTAAACCCTAAAGCCTAAACCCTAAACCCTAAACCCAAAACCCTAAACCCAAAACCCAAAACCCAAAACCCTAAACCCTAAACCCTACTAACCTAAACCCCCCTAAACCCTGGCCCAGGTAGATACCAACCCAAGAGCTCCCCCCCACCTTCTCATAAGCCCCCCCCAAGGGAACAAGCAAGGAAGCCCTCAAACCCTGCGCTGCTCAAGGAGTCAAAAGCACGAACTCCAAACCTCGAACCCCTGGAAAAGCCCCACAGCCCGAACCAAGGCAACCAAGGGGGTACACTCAGCACTTGGCTCTAATGTTGACGATGCGGTCGCCATCAAAGACGCAGCCATCGAAGGTGAAAATCGGCTCAACCTGGGATTCAAGCGGCTGTAGGCTTCGGAGGGTCTTGGGGTTTTGGGTTTTGGGGTTCAGGTGCGCCTACCTTAAGGTTCATGGGTAGTTGGAAGTAGGGGTTCCCAGTCTCTCAAGTGAGTTTTGAACCGGCATAACTATAGTGCCCCATGTGGGTAGTTCTCTACATTCGCCGAGGCCTCGGGCCGGAGGTGTTCGGGGAGCATAAAGCAGGTACCCCACCTCGAACCCCCTCGCTAACGACCCGTGCACAGACTTGGCTCTTTTTGGCAAGGAATGGTGACTTGAGGCATTTGGGCGGTGTCCCCCCACACCGCCCCAACCCCGCCCCAACCCCGCCCCCCCCTTTCCGCCCGACTCATTGCGCTTCCTTCTGCGTCCCCCTTCCCTTCTCCCAGAAGCCCCAAAACCCTAAACCCTAAACCCTAAACCCTGAACCCCAAACCCCCCAAAAAATTGATTGCACGAAGCCGCGGGCCGGGCCGAGGCGGGTCGAGCCTTAAAAATGGGGTTTAGGGTTTAGGGTTTAGGGTTTAGGGTTTAGGGTTTAGGGTTTAGGGTTTAGGGTTTAGGGTTTAGGGTTTAGGGTTTAGGGTTTAGGGTTTAGGGCTTAAGGTTTAGGGTTTAGGGTTTAGGGTTAGGGTTTAGGGTTTAGGGTTTAGGGTTTAGGGTTTAGGGTTTAGGGTTTAGGGTTTAGGGTTTAGGGTTTAGGGTTTAGGGTTTACGTTTTCCTTTGGGGGGTCCTTGTGTTAAGGATCCCGTAACTACTAGACCGGGGGACCCCCAAAAAGGACCCTGTTTAGTTTAGAGACCCTACACCCTAAACATGTAGACCCCAAACCCTAAACCATAAACCCTAAACCCTAAACCCAGCTTCTGGGTGCCAAGCCAAGTGCCCCTTGGCGCCTAGTGAGGACGACTTGGTCCCAGCGGTCGAGCCTGCATCTTCGTGGGCGCTCTACTCTATTTGGGGTACAAAACAGGTTTAGGGTTTAGGGTTTAGGGTTTAGGGCTTTTGGGACATGCCCACATTGGTCTCCATTCCTCTGGGGTGGACGGTTTGGTGTTCCAGGCAGCTGATCAGGACGGCCAGCGCGCGCGCCAAAGTCTTAAAGTTCCAAGCCGTCAACTTGAGCAACACAGGCCCCTGAAGCCAGAACCCGAAACCCTAAACCCTAAACCCTAAACCCTAAACCCCACACCCTACACCCTCATTCCTGAAGAGTGCGGCCACCAGCTTTTCGCGAATTTCCGGGGCGCTGCTGTGGCGACTGCAAGCCGGTTCTCCGCCCAGCGGGGGTGCACTTCGGTTTAGGGTTTAGGGTTTAGGGTTTAGGGTTTAGGGTTTAGGGTTTAGGGTTTAGGGTTTAGGGTTTAGGGTTTAGGGTTTAGGGTTTAGGGTTTAGGGTTTAGGGTTTAGGGTTTAGGGTTTAGGGTTTAGGGTTTAGGGTTTAGGGTTTAGGGTTTAGGGTTTAGGGTTTAGGGTTTAGGGTTTAGGGTTTAGGGTTTAGGGAAGGTTGATGTAGGCGTGGTTGAGCGTTTGGCGTTTGGGATCCCAACCTCGATATGGGTCCTCCGCGTGGCTTCTCCCGACCCGAGCCAGTCCCAGACCGACAAGACCTTGCTGCACGGCTCATTTCTTCCGCTTCTTGCTCTTCTTGTCCTGGCAGACTCTTAGAAACCTCTCTCGAAATTGCGAGGCCCTGTGTGTGGGGGTGTCTGAAGGTTGGCCATACAAGAGAGCTCCCAGGGCCTTCTTCTTGTCCTTCTTCTTTTTCTTCTTGTCCTTCTTATCCTCATGGAGCACAAAGCAGGAAAGAGGTAAAACCACGTGCAGGTTTGTACTGCGGCTCCTTTTTGGAGGACTTCTTCCTTTTCTTCTTCTTGTGGCTCGATGAGCTGGACTCGGACCTTCGAAAGGCTCTAAAAACGCCATAGGAACGACGAAGGACATCCGGCCATAAAGGACATTGGGTTAGGGCTTC